GTGTTAATAACATTTATTCGCGATAACAAAGATAACTACTTTTAAAAGTATAATATCAGTAATTTAATGCTATAATTTTCGCACTATTTTAAAGAATGATAAGATACAGTATTCCTTTATAAGGGAGTTTATAAGTCAAATTTACAAAAAAATATTTCAATCGCCAATTGGTTCTGCTTGAAGTGAAGAAATATCACTTAACAGAGAAAAACTTAGCAGTTTTAGTATAAAATACATTGCCCTTAACGTACTGTGACCATGAAGGCTGTTTACGTACTTCTACTGTTGGCCCTTGTTGGAATCGTTTGTGCAAAAGTATGTATACATTAATATATCGTAAGAGTATACCACAGGTTGATATATAATAATTTCAAAAGAATTTTATTACTGGGGGCATTTAATTGAAACGTCAATGGAAATATGTTAATAGTCATAATGATTAATAAGACACTTCTTTCCTTGTGAAATCAGACAAGGAATGCTCTATTTACTCGCAAACAACCTCCTATACTGCCGTGCCTGAGAAAAATTTCTTACCTTTCAAATTTTTCTTGAAATGTTCAAAAATGTAAAAATCACATGGCGACAATGGACTGTAGAAAGGATGCTCTACTATTTCCCATCGAAACTATGTCGCTATGCGATTTCCATTTCTTTCGAAATCTAACTGATTCTGTAACTTTTAATGATATTGTCGGTATCATTATTATATTGTAGTTATGCAGATATTATACATGGTAAAAAACCTACGCAATATGACCATAACAAATTATTGTTAAGAATTACGGAATCGGAGATACTCAAAAAGAATTTGAACGACTGAAAATTTTCATCGGACGCAACAGTGTATGTAACGATTTGTGAATGGGATTGATCTCAGCCTAAGAAATTTTATAAACAGAACATCCGTTTTCTAATTTCACAAAGAAAAAATGCTTTGTCAACGATGATTATTAACATATTATAGTTATTAAATTTAATATCTAAATTTTTCATTTGCTACGTTTTATTTGGCTACCCCTATTATAAATATTTTTTATGATTACATTGTACCAGTCAACTTGTCAAAAGAAAATAATGTCAGTAAATGTAAAAAAATATCGTTTATAAATAAAAAAGCTTCAAGAAATAATAAAAAAATAAATATTTTAGTAGAATTATTATTCTTATTTATTTAAAAGATAGATCTTTAGAATATAATACGGTATATCAATTTATTTTGATACACTATCGAAAATAAAATTCTTCTGAACAACATTTATGGTATAACATAATATATATAGTATAATACTGGGTTGGCAAGTTATCGTTACAAGTTATTTTTTTTGAATAACAAATCGGGAACGACATTACATTTTCTTCTGAGTAACGTTCATTGTAACGCAATTACATTTTTGGAATAATGTTAACGATTTCACTAGTTACTTTTATCGTTACTTTATTTCTACCCACATAGAAGTTTTAGTCGTAACTAGATCGTATTATATATACATATATATATATATATATATATGTGTGTGTGTATATATACACACACACATATAGTATATATCCATATATACATTTATCAGTTTTTGAGCTTTAATCCTCTATTAAAAGATAGAATTCTGACTTCTCTTCAGAATATTTCCCGCAAAAATTTGTAAATGATAGCGTTTTTTATTGATAGAACTAATGCGCTTTAAAATCGTTGTACATAAATTAACATAAAGATGTATGTTTAATAAAAATATAGAAACAAGTGAAACCACAAAAACCTCAATACATTTTGTTATACAACTATTTAATAAAATATACTTTAGGCATTTTATCAATTGAGATATCTCATTTTTATATTTAAATTACAGTAGAGTACAATTGCTTTAATGTGCACTTTGTTCTGCCAATGAGAAACGCTATATTTTATTAGCATCAAAGCCATCAAGAAAAAAAAGTAACGAAAAAATAACGACTTGTGACTGACAGTAACGATAATGAATTACTTTTGCAAATCAATAATGAGTTATTTTTTAAGAAACAAAAATGGTAACGGTAATGATTTCATTTTTATGAGGTAACGTTGCCAATTCTGATATAATATATTCTAAATAACGTTCTAAACAAACATTTGGTTTTCTAAATGTTGAATAATTACAATAACAAATTGGGAACTTTTAATTGCAGTAAAAAATATAATACTAAAATAGTAGAAGATATTTTAGGAATGTTTAAAGCGGCGTCTACAATGGATTTAAAACGTAAAACTTAAGCTTAAGCCCTAAGCCGTAAGAAATTGATCAATCATAGTCGATCTCCTCATATTTGATCGTGATTGGTCAATTTCTTATGGTTTAAGGATTAAAACTTAAGATTTACGCCTAAAAATTTCATTATAGACGCCACTTAAAGGAATCCTAAAATCGTCTGTTTTATCGATTAATCACAAGAATTTTTATATTATTATAATAAATATTTTTTTCCTCTTTCACAAATTTGAAAATTCTTTAATTTCTAGGATTAGAAAGTATACGCATTAATACGTGTCTATGGTTTAAGCTGCTAACAAAAAAAATTATTTAAATTGAGATCTTTTTTACCGTTTCTTAGTTCAATATGGCTTATCAATGAAGTTGTCAGTATCGTAACAACATTTGTTTAATATAAAAACTACAATCTGCACTTAAATCTGTTAACTAGTAGTTTACGTGAATAATGTGGAATTCTTAGAATTAAACTTAGCTTTCTGATTAAAACGTTATTGTTATACGAAAATTTATGTATATGTGTGCGTGGGACATTGATGTAGTAGTATATAAAAATATGTCGATGTCATCAGTAAAACTGCAATCTTGTAGTTCGGGCTTCACACTTTAGGATTTCTTTGATCTACAAATTAGACAACAATGTTAGATCAGAGCTTACTTATTAGAGTTTATTATCTATTTAACAAACTTAATAAATATTGTGCTAGAAAGCTTGCCAACTAAATTAACTATTAATAAACTTTTTTTTATTCCTTTTACCCTTTTTTTTCTTTTTAATTAGACTCTTGATCGAGCGAAAGAACCATCTCATTCAAAGCATCCTCCTAAACACTCTGATGATGACTCTGGTGAACACGATGATAAACACGATAATGAACACGGTGGACACGATGGTGGACACGATGGTGGACACGGTGGTGGTGGACACGGTGGTGGTGGACACGATGGTGGACACGATGATGGACACGATGGTGGACACGATGATGGACACGATGGTGGACACGATAATGGACACAATGGTGGACACAATGGTGGTGGAAATAATGGTGATAACGGCGATGATAATGGTGGTAACGGCGGTGGTAACGGCGGTGGTCATGGTGGTCAGGGTGGTTTAGGACTAATAGACCTTGTTTTGGTAAGGATTATGTAAAAAGGAATTGCACAAGAAGATTATATTTATTACTAAAATTTAAGAAATAGTATTCTAAAAAGAGATAGAAACATACATATTAACAAAAACATTATTATCGGTCAGTTTATACGGCAAAAATTAATTATATTTAAGCTAATCTATAATTGATTTATTAATAAATGTTTATAATATAATAAAATTTTAGAAGTTTAAACAATCTTAATAATTATGAAATTATATCAATTAATATTTTGAACAGAACATTATGAAAATATATAAATAAATAAGATTGTCTAATTTATGTCATGCTTATGATAGAATATATATTAATAAAATAAAATAAAATTTATTTATTATTTGTTTATTATACTGTTTTTATGTAAGATTCTTTTTTAAATGTTACAGCAACTTGCGTGCAGTTTACTGGGACCATTACTAAGTAGTCTAGGTCTAGGTGGTCTTTGTCTGAAGTTTCATTGAAAGAAAAAATTAAATACACACCACGTAAGTTATGAATCTCTAAGTAAATTATGATCTCTGAACGTTAAACATTGCATTATAAAAGATCTCTAATAATTTAATAATTTCCAGAGTTTCATATATAGATGAGTTTATTTTTTACAGAAAGGATAACTTCTATTATTGACGTCGTAAAGACACTCTTATGAAATATATTATTTATTGAATAATATATTATTATTATTATTATTATT